TATTATTTACTAAGAACATGTCATATTTGATATACATTATTTATTAGATGATATGACATTGATAGATAGAGAATTTTATTAGAAAAGAAATTGAAATAGAATTTATCTTTGACAGATATAAATTTTTAAAGAATCAAGAATAGATATTATTAGACAACGTTGTTTATGAAACTTGACAACTCTATACCCATTCAAAAGTTTCTAGGTAAACAACATTTTATTTACATATATAGTTTCAAAGAATCCAGTATTTTTATCATGATCAATCTCTAGCTTATATTAAAGTTTATGATGCGATTATGATACTAATTAAATTTACTTTTATAATCATAATAAAGAAGAGTTTCATTATAAAACATACCGATTATTACGATGAATCGGATTGTTGTTCATGAAAAAATATTTTTAGTTACTCATCTAAACTAATTCATTATTTAAAGAAAACTCCTAGAGTAAAATGATCAATATTTGAAAGGATTGTGTATTCAATTACTTATCTAGTGGAAACACTTACACCGCATACATTTTTTTTTAATATAAACAATTTCTTTTATAGTTTCATTATGAGAAATGAAAAAAAATAATTTTTAGCGATTCCAGAATATGACAGGTTCTTTTGTTCTAGATATTTTTGTTAAAATGAAACTTATCAAATGAAGAATATTAAAATAAAAATATAACTGTGGAATCCGAGAATACAATATACATATAAATAATTTTAATATCGACTTATTTATATATCAAAAATCATATAAATTTTAGGTCGTTTCTTGAAACAGTAAAAATATAAGAAGAGGGGGGGGGGGGGCGCAAGCTTCCTTTTTTAATAAAAAGAAAGAAATTCTGATCGCTCGTTCAAACTTTTCTACAGAAAGCAATTGACATATCTTGTAGTGGCGGCGCACTACCCATGATCGAAGTCATCATAATCTTGCTATCGTATATCCAAAAATATCGACAATAGCGGAAACAATAATCTATTATTGCTTCCCCAATTTTTTTTAGATGTAACAACTGATGCCTCCTGTAGTGCTAATGCAACGTCCATGGAGAAAACAATTCATGATGCTAAAGAGCTTCTTGATTGAATACATGGTGATAAGATAAACCGTGACAAAAAGTCATACAACTTACGATAGTTTAACTCAAATTGTAAACGAAATATACACTTTTACACGTGAAGCTTTATTTTAATTTCAGATAATGATCTTGGCTATTTGTAAGATGTACTTAAAAATCATAAAAACTTAAACATTAAAGAAAACGAATAGAAGCTTGAAAAATTATGAATGTATGATATGTACTGATTGCAATACGTTAAATAATTGATCAATAATCACATCCATTTGAAATAACATGAACGTTAAAGTTGTTTAAGTATTCATTCTTGGAGACAATTGTATTCTTCGATGTACTTTATTTTTGCATGTCTATAATAATGAACCGAAATGTACTCAATGTGGTGAATACCATAATCCTCTTGGTAGCAAATGCCAGTCCATCGATAAATGAAAGCAACAATTAAAACAACAAGTTGAAAATGCTATAAGTACTGGAAAATTGCACACGTTTGAATCAAATATAGAAACTTAGAAATTCGAACAACAAGAATAAGATTTTCTTATATTAGCAACAATAAATCGTCGATAAGTAAACAAGTAGAAAAGAAAAAAAATTATACAATATGGTAGTCTGATAATATTATCGCGAATAATATTCAATTGCCAGACAATTAATAATAACTTATTAGAACCGATCAACAGTTCCAAAGTCACTAGAGTTAAAATTGATTAATTATAAGACAAATTAAATACAGCCATATTAGATATTCAACCACATTAAACATTTTTACTCGACGTTATTACACTTATGAAAGAGTTTATACTACTTTCGCTCATCATTGATAAACGAGATAGACTTGGCATTAAATACTTATTGCACAACAATAATTCAATCATTTTTATTCAACTTTTATAAAATTAAAAAAATGATAAATATTTGCATTTAATCCTAGCGTGCCAAACATCACTAATGCAATCACGAATAGTACTTCGCCGATCAACCATCAACTTCCCTCACTTATGTGTACAACTATTAACAATATCGATAAGCAACACTCATATAACAATAAGTATTGTGTTTCATTTAAATGTTTTTGTTAAAGCGTTTTCTCCTCCTCCTCTTTCTTCTTAACTATCTGGAGAGACTTCGAAACTTCTCTGTAAAAGATCAGGGTTTAGTCTTAGCTATCTTAAATGAACAGTAAACAAAGAGGACTCTAAACACCGTTTTACATCAATAAGAAAATATAGGAACATTTTGTCCTAATGTCTAAAAACAACATTAAAGATAATATTCCATAACGTACACGGATGGAACATACATGCATTTTAAGTCATTGAATAGTATATAAAGTAGAAGTCTATATATGTATTTTTACACAAGTAGGAGATTTATGGAAAACGTATCGACTCTCTCATTTTAATATATTCTATCAAAAAGACATAGATGATAATGGAGAAGTATGCATAGAAGTAGGAAAACTTTTAAAAACAACGCATATAGAAATTGACATACCGAACCTAATTGTCACCGATGTACCAGGGCTGTTAGAACCAATACGTATGATACGTATTTATTCATCCTTAGGTTAACAACGTAATCTTGAAGATATTCCGCCATACATAATAGAAAGTAGTATTATAACGGGTGATTTCAATACAAAAGTGAACGAATAGAATGAAGAGAATAACTTACACTAGAGTCCATGCACGTGTCATACATCAAAACACTCTGTACGTAATATAGATGTATCATTTTCAATCATCACTTCTGTATTTCTAGTGAAATACTATATAATGGCACCGGTGTAGACTGATCTTTTGTTTTCTCTTGTAATAGCATTTTGTTTGATAAGAATAACTTTTTTCTTCTCACTAATTGAGAAGTCTTCGAGGCAATACTATTTTTATTTCAATCATTCTGGGTAGAAGAACAAAAACAAATATGGCTGATGAATAGTAAAAACAATATACCCGCCCCGTCGCTACTATCAACAACAAAGTAAGCAGTTATTGGGAAGAAGAAAAAAAGTGTAGACCGTCACAATTGAATGCTGAAGTAGAAGTATTGGAAGAAATAACAAAAGTGAGAAATAAATATTAGCGTCTGAGACAAAAAGGTATTCAGTGCGAAGGAGAGAGAAATTTATCAGGAGTTCTAATAAGAGGACCACAAGATATTTATCAGAGAATACAAATCCTCTCGACGGAGTGAGTTCATGTTAATATTTAGTTATCATACTATAATTCAGAAAACGCATTTCGGACCCACCTCTCTTCCTTTCTATAAACTAGTATCTGAAAATATAATATTGAAAGATTAGAATGATATAGTAAAAGTACAAAATAAATACTACAATGAAGAATATAGATCTCCAACAACCGATCGCTGTGATGCGCACAAAGTTAAAACAAATGCTAAATATAGAACTATACTGAGTAACCGATCGGCTTTGAAAGTCGAAATGGCAAGACTAGCAATACGGAAGTTCAGAAGTTAGTAAGAGCCTTGAAACCAAAAAACAATCAGTTTCGATTCAGTATCTAACAAAATGATTAAAAAATTGTGTCTGAGTTCTATCAAGACCTTATTATGTTATTTAATATTTGGTTGAATGAATGATAGCAAAAATCGTAACAATAAACAAACTAAAGACAGGATTATCAAAATGTGAACATACTACACCAATTTCGTTGTTAGGTACACATTCAAAACTTTTTGCGAATTTTTTTTGCAGAGAATCAGTGCTTGGATGGAAGACAATTAGTTGGTTTCGTCAAAGTAATTAAGTTTTTCCTCCAAATATCCTCTACCTACTTGAGGTTTGTTGATATATCAGAAAATAAAAAATAATATGGTAGTTAATTTACTAGCATTAACGATCTATGTTGACTATTAAAAAGCGTATGATCGAGTCTGGCAGACTGCTTTTACATCCGAATTATAGTCTCGATATATTGTTTGAACTTCGAAAATTGTTTAGTAGATAGACAATCTTCTGTAACATTAGGAGCTAATCGTTTAGAAATGTTTAAGATTAATATAGAACTTCCTCAGGATAGCACTTATAAATGTTCTCGAATCTCATTTAGTCCATCTTTTCGCTGATAGTACTAGTGTACTTGTAAAAATACCTGTAATGAAGAAGTTATAGTTAATGACTCAATAGCTTGACAAAGAAAGTACAAGAGTTTGTGACCAAATATACCGGGTATTATTACTCGAAGAAATGGAAACAACCCATAAACATAGGAAAGATGGCAGCATAGATATTTCATAGACAGTTCAAACGACCAGTAGTTAATGTAATGATGAGTGAAGAAAAATTGAATTAGTTAAAGAGTTTAAATACTTAGGTTTCAATTGGACAGATAAGCTTTCCCTTCAACCAACAATTAATGGATGTTTAGGAATGAGTTTTTTAAAAGAAAAAACGATCATGTCGGCTATTTTTTTTCTCGTTGAGATGTGTGAAAGGTATGATAGCTAGACACGTGTCTTTTCTCTTGAAATAGATACTTCTTGTTGAATCAAAATAAAAGAAGAGAAGAAAAAAAAGATACAACATAATGTATTTTGCCCATTCTATTCTCCTTTGTTTTTCTTTTTCGCTATTCTTTTCTTTTTTTCTCTTATCCCAGTTCTTCTTCTTTTTTTGATTAATTTTTTTTTTCGTTCGTTTTTACTTCACCGTTTCTTCTCTTTCTAATTCATACAATAGTGTACAAAAAATTGTTATTCTAATTAAGTTCTTTATAATATGTTCTGCAAAGGATGTAACTTCAAACTTAAATACCCTCATTTTTTCTCACTCTTCGATCTCTTTATTTATACTTTATATTATATTTTGTTGTAAGCACTTCTGAGTGTAACAGTTGAGGGCACAATAAAAAAAACATATAACTGAAATGCATATACAAAAAGAAGGATGACTAATTTTATACAAGTGAATTTTGTTTAAGCCAAGCCGATATCGTATCCAAACGAATAATAGTTGTTACTTGTGCTGAACGCATATCACAAAATGTTTTAGAAAAACGAGATATAAGTCCAACAGCAAATATACGTTGATTCGTTTGAGCAAAAAGTATGCCGCCTGCATCACCTGGACATAAATTCGGTTGTTTTATAGCTATAGCTGTTGTACATAGCGTAATCGGTGATGAATATGAAATATTACAATCAATTAATCGTTGTTGTATATATTTAAGACGCATTGGTTTATCAGCATTTGTTGATAATGGACCCCAACCTGTTGCATATAAAGAAATATTATTCATTAATGTAGTTATATCATTCATTGTAGCTAATGGTAATGGACGAGATTCTATACTGAGAAAAAGTAAATGTACTTTTAATATAATAAAATCATTGTATGAATTTAATATTTGTATAACAGATGATTGTCGTTCGAATGCACTTGTACTTAATCGATCATATTTAGCAACATAAATAATAAGTTTTGTTGGATCAAATATTAATTGTTGTTGTTGAAGAAATGTTTGTAAAGATGATGATTTATCAAAACATTGTGATACACTTAAAATAGTATCTTCGTCAATTAATAGACCTGAACAAAATGCATCATAAACAAAATTTATTGATGTATCTCGATATGATATTGTTACATGCCATGGTGATGAACTAGGAAGTACAATACCATGTGTTCCAACAAAATTCAATGGATTTGGTTGAAATGTATTAGAAATTTGTTGAGTATTTTCAAATACAATCAACATCCAGTAAGATGTTTGTTTACATTTTGATGTTGTTTGGACAGTACAAGAATAACTTGTATTATGATTGATATTAATTGTATCAATAAATAACATATATTCAATTAATATTTGCATATTATCTTCTCCATTTCCATGAATAATAGCACCATTTTTCTGCCATATAATAGTTGCATTTGGTGTTTTAGCTTGACATTGTATGGAAAAACTTGAACCTAAACGAACATAATAAATAGATTCTATTGGTTTTATTAATGCACATTGATTATCAATAGAATTTTCAAAAGTATTTCCATTAGTATCAATTAGCATCCAAGCATGTCGATTGATATGTTCACCATCTGGCATATTTATTTGACATGTTATACGAGTTTCAGACGAGAAAAATTGTGTTACTGGATAAATAAATAATGTTGTAGCATTTGAAACAACTTTTATTGAAGGATTTTGTATTGACAAGATTGACACATCTTGATCATTAATTAACCTTTTCAAAGAAAAAAAGATATATAGAGTAGGTCATATATAATACGATAATAAAAAAAATTTAAATATCCTCGCTGGTTGTTACTCAAACGAGCTAATATTTTTATTAGTAATAGAGAGTTACTTCACGTTTTTATATCTTTCAAGTTAGATTACTCAAATATAGCTTACATGTACTATATTTACATATGATTAAACAAGAATAAACATACTAATTAATTATGACATACAAATCATTTCCACTTTTAATCGTATATGTTTCAATTTTGTAACTAAAATATTCTTTAAACATAAATAAATTTTACCATTTAATTGTTCCACTTTTTTGTTTACATATAAACTGTGCATGTTTACCAATCATTACAGTTGTATTACTAGGCATTTTATCAAAATATTCTTCATCATATTCTTAAAGAAAAAACGAAATTTGTTTTTTTAGAAATAACCAAATTGAATCATCTAACCTAGTTCATGACAATCTTTAAAACAAATTTCATATTGAAAGTCATCTCCAGTACAATTCGTATCTATAATATCTCGTATAAGACCATTTTTCCATAAACACGTACGTGTTACATTACGTATACCATGTGTTCCACAACGTGCTATACATCGAGATGCTATTGACCATTCTGACCATCGACCACGATCTATACAAAAATATCAAAACTCTCATTGACAAAAAAAGAAATGAATCATTTTTTTCCTACCTGTCATACAACATGAATCAACAATATTTGAATCATTACATACACATTGATTTGTTTCATTAGACCATATTCCATAATCAGAACATGTTTGAGAACAATTTTCATATTGAACTAAATCATCAAATTTTTTATGACACATAGCAACATGTTGAGTAAAGTCCATAACTGGTAGTGAACACATTTGTCTATAACGTGTACGTTTACCACCTCCACATGTTTTATCACATGGACTCCAAGGTTTCCATTCAGTTAATGAACAAAATTTCCATGGTGAACACCATTTACGATATTTTATTGATATACAATCAATATTTTTTAAAAGAATAAATATAATAATAAAGAATAAGAAGTAAAGATTCATGATAAAAATTGTGTATTATTATTTTTACTTCGTTGTTACTTCGTATTCATTTGTAATATACGTGTCGACAACTGTCAACAATGTCATCAGTTATATGTTGACTGGCCAAATGGCTTATACAAACATTGACAATGACAGCGTGTCAACTTAAAAAAGAAAACGAAAGAGAGCAACGGTCAAACAAATATATATATATAT